CAATATACATGATTATTTGGTCATTGAGAAGCACTTGCTGGGATAACGCGACCCGATCTTAATCAATTTTCACGTTGACGAAATCATCCAGGGAGACACTCAAAAGTATTGAAATCCGCAATTTTTTTCATGCCTATAATTGTTTATTTACACAAAGATCTTTTTCATAGAAGCGGTTGGTTTTCTGCAAAAAAAAAAACAGACAAGCTTCGCGTCCTCTTATATTTGATATTTGTCCAGGTTTCCACTTTTCTCCTCATGCAGGAAACAAAGTAAGCAGCTTTCGGTGGACTGCCATCAACTATAACTCGACTTTCTAGACTACATTCTGACATTGAACATAGGGCTTCAAATGTGCTCAAAACAGTAGTTGATCATCAACCAGCTAGCTTTCAACGCTTTTTCATTCAGGAATTGCTTATTTAGCTTTTTAAAAAAGAAGAAAAAGTAATAGGATTGGGAAAAATACCAAACAATAAATGGGCCGACAGCATAAGTGCGATTAAATAATCTTCCACAACGAACCATCAGCAATGGGCCAGCCTCGATAGACGGTATTGAGAACAGCCGTAGCAGCGATGGTGATTGCTTGGGATAGAATAAAGTCAGATCGTAGCTGCACGTGAAAATAGAGATGGGACGTCGAGCTCTTGTGGGTTTCTACCACTGTAAAGCAGACATAGTACCACATTCTTATGACCGATGCCGAACTTGTTCTGCCAAAAATCAGTGTTAGTGCGCCAACCTAGACCGAACAGCTGTGATTCCAAAACAGAGTCTGCCAGTGCTAGTAACATATCGAAGCAGAGACAAATAGCTTCTCGTACTGTCTTTTCGTAGATTTCACTCTTACCCTGTAATGCACATGCCGAATAAATGTAATGCGTAAGCCGAAGAAAGCTAACGTGACTTTTGAGATAAGTTTACCTGCTCTTCGTTGATTTTATCCATAACGGCCACTTTCGTAGTCAGACTTATCACCATGGCATCAATCGTATCCATCTGGTTTGGAGTGTATCCGGTATCCGCCGATCAATCTAAAACGAGGTAAATGACCTGACAAAAGCAGTCCCGGTCATGGCACTTACATTTTGACCCAGGGACACTCTTCGATTCTCCTCGTCAGCAAGAATTTCAGCGTATTCATCCAGCTCTGCTATGCTGTCGGCGATATCCTTGAAACGTTCAAAAACCTGCAAAGCCCCAGTTCAATTACACGGTAGAAGACTAAATCAATACTCACACTTCTGATACCAGAAGCAATATCAGAACTGAGCTTTGCTCGCTTTTCAAAATTCCCATCATTCCATTCAGCATCCAGTCTGAAAATTGTAAACCGTGAACTCTAAGAAGCGGATTAGAGACACAATTTACCTGCGATTCAGTTGTCCGACGTACTTCTTGAGGTCGGCCAAAAAGAACCGCCTTGACCAGAAAGGGAAATCATGGAACATTCTATCAATTTCCAGCAATGTAGCGATTCGAGAGAGGCCCACCGTGCTAAGCTTTCAAAACATAAGAGTAAGCGAGCTAACTATACTGCTCCAAAATGCCCACTAACGTAAAAAAACGGATCAATTCATCTTTTCTACCTGGAAGCGGAGAGGTAAAGCAGAAGTGGTACCACAGCTTAAAACCTCTCGAGTAACCCTATTATCGACTGTAGATTGATGTACATGCAGGTTATCGGACGAGCGCAAACGCAACAACGAATCTTTTCTGGGTTGATCGAACGAAGGACCTAGAAGTGTCATGACCTCATGGGATAGAGAAGCATTAATAAGTAGATCGGTAACAAAAGGGCAGCTTGAACCCTTACTGACGGAATAGTTCTCCAGAAATTCAGAACACTGTTCCAATGTTTCAGTGTTAGCTCTGATTTCTCTCAATACATCGTATAGATAAGGAATAGCAAAGAGTGGCCACTGATGTTGACGAGATTCAAGAAGGCAGGAGAACCTAAAAGAAAGGTTAACAAAATGAGAAAACCACTCACTACAAATTCTTCTATTTCTCTCAAAGTATACTGACTCTATGATCCATTTCTTGTACAGCTTCACAAGCTCCACAGGCAAAACAATGGACAGCTTAGACTCTGACATAATTTCTTCAAAAGCAACTCGTCGCGAAGGAAGGTTGTTTTGCTAAAAGCATCGCTTGAAAAGGGTGAATTAGAAAAATCACAGAGAATCATTGGCAAGTGGTTTATCATTGTAAGCTAACCTATAACAGCACAACCTGCCTGGGATATAGCGAAATTGTGAGTCACTTTGTAAGGGTTTGTAAGGTAGAAACTATGGGCGGTGCTATAGGAGCAGTCCGTGCCCGAGTCATGCTTTGTTCCCATCGTATAGAATTTATACGCTATCTCATCGAGTTGGGCTCGTGCCATCTGGTGAGAGCATGTCGCCATCTGAAGAAGATAACGACGATTCAGAAGACTGAACTGAAGGGGAGAAAACTAACCTTGATCATCCACGATTCTCTCATTTTTTCGGAATCGAATCGTAAAATGAGATTATCGTTTGAATCAGGGAAAGTCACACCACATGCAAACGGAGACTCCTGAAGTATAAAAGTGAAGCAAGACACAATAGAAATAAAGGGATACACTATCGCTATCATCACCAAGGCAGCTGTACAGAGTAGAGAAAAATTCTTGTTTCAAAACATACTCTATGGTTTCTCAAAGTCACCTTTGAGGATTGATGGTGGACGTTATGATGGGTGCGAGAGAAGGGGGTAAGCCTACTACAAAGTGATGCCGAGCCCCCAAGGAGCGGAAGATCTAGTATCGCTGCAAAAGGCTCGCTCATCGCAACCTAGAGAAACCTAGGCTAGTGCCGGAGTCGAATCACAAATCACACAAATCATAAGTGCCCCGATAAATACAGCAAGGTGCTTTTCAATCCTGCCGCCATTCAACCATCGCCATCAATCAATTTTTGCTTGATGGCGATGGTTGAATGACGACTATTCATCATTCTACTTGTCTCATATTCAGTGTTTCAAACGTACAAATGGGACACTTGCGATTCGCGCAACGAAACGCAGACTCGGACGGATGCTAGCCTAACTAGATTCGCTTCAGCTCACACCAGTTCTGAATATGTTCGATATGTGGTAGAATATCGACAGGAATTACTGCGCATCACAACGCAATCTATGCTGACTTGCACAACAAAGAAGAGGAGTGAAGCTGCAACAAACAAATGGTTGTGATATTAAAGGCGCCGTGGACATCAACTTTGCTCTACAGCTCTCCATAGTGGATTCTGATTGCGGATGAATAAATAGCAATCCATATCAGGAGTTGCTCTTCTAACCATAATTGACGGACAAGGCTGAGTAAGAACAAAAATACCTCTGAATCTAGCTTCTGCACGGTAGCTCCTTCAATCACAAATATAAGGGGCACTTTGGCGTCTTCTGTGGAGGCGCAACTTAGCATGTTTCCATACAGAATCAACTGTAATAGATGAATATGAGTGCGGTGAACTTGACACCTTGCCCCATTTTGATGTCCGCCAGACTCGGCGACTGTGCCCGAGGAACGCTTTGGGAAAGCGATAGCAAAGCACTCCTCGAGCGATTGCCATCGCGCGATCGTCGAGCGATTGACGGTTTGCTGTAGAAATGCATATAACGTCGATAACTCGAATGCAGATTAGGCGTGGCTATGGATTTGAGTGGCCGTTGCCGCACTTGATAGAAGCCGTGTGGATGGCTGTTTCTAACCTACTGTTGGATATCAGCAAAGCATGCTGGAAGCAGCTTATCCGCGCAACTTCCATCAAGTGCGGCGGCCGCCACGTCAAACCCATAGACACGCCTAATCTGACTTCGAGATATGGAGTATATTTTAAAGCTCAGCAAATTCCGCTTTTTTCCGCTAATGTTCCGCAATTATCCTCAACATTAAGGATTTTCTGACAAAGATGGTTTTATCCTGCGGGCGCGTTCATGGTTGGTCGTCCGATTGTTACGATCGCGGAGCATTAGATACATATCGATTGTCGGACTTGACGGATGCTCGTACGATCTGTATGTAGCTAATGCTGTGCGATTATGATCTTTAGGATCGGATGACCGACTCAAAAAGGCGCCCCATGAGAAGTTTCACTTCCGTATGTGTCTCAAAATGTGGTGGACGGAAGCATCACTGGAAAAATGAATTTGAAGAAGTTGATGATGATGATGATAAGCAAAGTTCGCAAGTACGACATAAAAATAGTCACACTTCCATCACATGAGGCAGTATACAAAATCTGTAAGACGTAGTGAATAAGTCAACTTTAGCCTGTGTTAAATGATTAGAAGACTGAGAACTTCGTCTTCGGAGTGTGAACATTTTTATAGGCACTTCAAAATAACACCCTTCTCCAACCCTCGCAAAAACGTATGACGAACAGATTATGTAGGTGCTTCATCATCTTGTTCGCATTTCCTTAGGTGAAACAAATGATTCGCAGCAAATTAATACAGGTTCGATACCTCTGCATTGAAAGTTTCCTCCCGGAAGGTGACCGAGATGATCGCTTTCTTTGATCCTGATAATGTGATGAACCATTTGAAGATATCATGAGCGTTGTCCTCTTCCATGCGATTTCTCAAATGTATAAATATACTGGAAGACTGACAAACATCAAAACTCAAATACTTACCGGTACAGACGATTGCAAAAGTAATGAAGCACCTCAGTGGATGAACCTGCAGCCCCTTCACAATGTTGTCCGGCCTGCAAACATGTGCTCCAACTGCATCGCACAAGACCCTTTAATAAGTGGATCAGCTGCAGCATTGGCAAAATTATTTTTATTTTTCCTTTTGTCGTTGTGAATGTGCACCACAGTTGTTTATTTTTTCTTTT